AAACTGTTTGTGAAGCATTCTCCGGTTATGATTGTGGGAGATAAATTCCATGTACTCACAATTCCTTGTGTGTCACTAAATTTAAAGAAACACTCTGGGCACCACCACAACTTAATCTTCTGCTCTGCCCAAATCCTTCCAGCTATGGTCAAGGGCTTCCATCTGACACTCTCAGCCCATCACTAGAACCACATTCATAAAACTGTGTGAAAAAGGTGTATACCTTAATCAGATGTATTCCTGAACTTTAGGTGTCAGAAGATCCACTTAATATTATTTGAGTATCAAGTTTAATCTAAAAATGTATACTTAAAGTATTTTTCAGCATTTCATTTTCTATACTTTTTGTAAAAAAAAAAATTCTCTTGTTTTACTGGTCTTTATAGGAATAGTGTAATGAAGTGATTACAGAAGAGTTTTTTTTAACAGGTATAGATCTCGATTTATAGTCACAAACTTTAGAACAACAATGTTGAATAGAAATTGTATTAAAAAATTGAGGACAATATAACCCATTTGGAAATATTCGCCAATTCAGCTATTGTCACAGCTAAGCTATCCCTTGTCAATACCCAATCAATTGATTTACCATTCTGTGCCAATTTCTGATTTCTAAACAGATTTGCAAAAATACTGGAAAACTATATATTTTCCTTTCACTTCCCCCCCGCCCCCACCCTTTCTTGGGGTTCTTATCTCACCATAGTAGATAATAGACAACAAATTTAGCAGGAACCACTAATAATATGTCATGCTCTTAAGGCCATGTTGAGGATCACTACATTATTACATAATTGGCTTAAACTCTTCTAAACCTAATTAGTTTCACAGAGCACAGTGAACGCTGTATAGTTTTGGTCTTGCCACGCTGGTTAGTTGTGATAGATGAGCAGCGTTATATTAAACAGCCCTCCAACAGCTGTAATAATTGTGATAAATGGGGAACTTTGTATCCTCACATTTATATATCAGTCCATAACTTTATAGTTAAGATAAATTACACTTTATACATTATAAGTTAACTAAAGGCCTGGAGGAGAATTATTTGAACAAAAAGGCAGAAGGCTGATGTTTGAATATACTTTTTTTTTGTTGGTGGGCTACGAGTTCCCCAATCACTGGTATCTGCACTTTTATTGTGCCAATTTTCATTTTATTTGACTATATATTCTAAATGATTCTCACATTAAAGGAACACTTCAAATACCATAACCACAACAGCCTTCTGTGGTTTTTATGGCACCAGGGGAAACCCATTTTAGAACAGTTTGACAACTCACCTGGTCATGCCAGGCTCATTCAGCTGGCCATCAAACAGAGTGAAGTAGTGAAATGCAGGGCTACGTATATTGGCTTAGGGCATTAGCTGATTGCTCTCAGTCAACAGTTCCAATTGTCCTACATGATGATTGGAAGTGAAGGTACAGTCACTTACAGTCATTATCCCGAGAACTTTTGCTGGACATAAGAGTAGGGGATAAGATCTGTCTTCATAGACCAGTATAAGATGCTCCCAATTGGAGTATTTTTTATTTTTTTTGGTGTGGGAAGGTCTAGCAGAACCACTAATTTGCACATTGGGGGACAATGGGGCAATATTTTTAATGCATTATTTGTACATAAAAAATAATATATGGTCATTTTCTAACCTAACACTGAAGGATGGAATTAGTTTGACATGCCCCTTGGTAAAACCACTAGTAATAGCAGATGTGAGCAGATACATTTATTACACATTCTTAAGTGGTCATTTTACCACAGGGCAGGCTATGGGGCCCTTCCCTGTTATGAGTTGAGCTTGTCTGAATGGGTGGTGTCGCAGCTGGAAAGGCAAAAGTCACCCTATTCCCCACTCTATATTTGAATGCTTACTTTCAATGTACATAAGATGTTTTGAGCAGTAACAATATAAAGTGTATCATTATCATCATTGCAATTGTAAAAATTCTATCAAATGTCACATCTGATTAGTGATAGAATACAAGTTGGGACCATGCCCTCAACTTGACACAGTGAGCTCCAAGGGATTGACATTTACAACTGATGCCAAAAAACTAAATCTTTCTTGGAGACACAAAAGTGTCACAAACTGCGGTAGCATAAAACTCTGATCACTCAGTAAGCCAGCTCTAACATTGTTTGTGACAAGAGCTCCAGGGCATCTAATGAGATCTCCAAAGGTCATTCGACTTTGGTGACTTGTCTTATGTTAAATGTGGGTCAATCTTTTTGACAGTGTCAATAAATAAAGTCTTATGTCCTATTCTTCTACGTTACAAAATAAATAGTCAGTTTGTGGACTGGACATTTATGTCATTTGTGAAGCAAATTACAAACACAGTGATACTTCTTGATTATTTAATATACCAATATGAACCACAAGGTGAGGTACTATGCCACCTCTTGTTACCATTTGACCCCAGGAGAGGATGCCACGTTGTCTCTATTTTCATAATTGTTACCTGAAGATGATACAAGGCAGCCTATTTTATCAAAGGCCCTAAATTAAATGTACCTGGCTGTCTCATTTTACCAATTGGAGAATGATGCCAGGCTGCTTGTTTTTACCAATTGGCCCCAGATAAAGTCTACTTAGAAAAGCCTGAGAGGGATTTAAAGGACCACTATAGTGCCAGGAAAACATACTCATTTTCCTGGCACTATAGTGCCCTGAGGGTGCCCCCACCCTCAGGGACCCCCTCCCGCCCGGCTCTGGAAAGGGGAAAGGGGTAAAAACTTACCTTTTTCCAGCGCTGGGCGGAGAGCTCTCCTCCTCCTCTCCGCCTCCGTTACGCCCTGCCGGCTGAATGCGCACGCGCGGCAGCTGCGCGCGCAGCCGGTCTCAGGAAAGCATTTACAATGCTTTCCTATGGACGCTGCGTCTCACTGTGAAAATCACAGTGAGAAGCGCAAGCGCCTCTAGTGGCTGTCAATGAGACAGCCACTAGAGGATTAGGGGGAAGGCTTAACCCATTCATAATTATAGCAGTTTCTCTGAAACTGCTATAATTATGAAAAAATGGGTTAACCCTAGAGGGACCTGGCACCCAGACCACTTCATTAAGCTGAAGTGGTCTGGGTGCCTAGAGTGGTCCTTTAAGCCTATTTTAAAGGTGCTATTTCTCATTCAATTTGCAATACATCCAATTGCATATTTTTGGTTACCCCTTTTACTCTTTGCTATGTAATTACAAATAATATAAATATGTAATTATTTAAAATGTAAGAGATAGACTTATGAATAGCAAGCAAACATAAGGTGTGCTAGGCAACCTTCAGTACCTCAGACGTTGTGGACTCCATCTCCCATAATGCTCTCTTACAGTCATAATGCTGGCAAAGCATTAGGGGAGATATACTCCACAACATCTAAGTGTCAAAGATTGTCTACCTTGGCCCTAGGCTTTTCACGGCTTAACACATATATGTACCAGAATGCATTTTTTCTCTCTCTCGATGTTACCAATAACCTATAATACATATACACAAGGTGTACCGTGTATTTTCGTGTATAAGACGCTCCCAATTTTTTGAGCCCAAAATTAAGAAAACTATATTTTAAACATCAAATATAACAACTTTGTTATTTTAGAGGTGACTTTGAGGAGAACAACACACTTCTGATTCCCATGCCTTCCCTGTGCTACAATGCTCTGTTAAGATAATGGCTCTGTAGTAAGTGCTGGGAGCAGGGCCGTATTAACATAGGGGCTGTTGGAGCTGCAGCTCCAGGCCCAGGCCCAGGCCCATGGAATAGGCCCATTGATTGAAAACTTTTTTTTTTTTTTTTACATACTACTCTTAGGGTTGCCAGGTATTTCTCATGTATTTCTTATGGTTCCTAGGTATTTCTCAGAAGTATTTCTCAGGTATTTGAGGCTGCCTAGCCAGTGCAGGTATTGCGGTAATGCCAACAATACAAATGTCTGTCTCAGTATAAACAGAGATTATTCTGCAATACCAGCGCAGGCCAGTAGGGGTCGCTGTTTGTGTGGAGAGAGGCAGGGATAAGAAGTTACAGCATCTCCCTCCCTTACTCTCTCTACACACTGATCCACGAGGGAGCAGCTCTGCACAGAGAGTCCAGACAGCAGCTCCAAGCCTGCGAGACATGGGACGGTGAGAGACTAGGGGACACTGGGGAACATGGGGACCCTGAGACACTAGGGACTGTGTCCCTAGTGTCTCAGGGTCCCCATGTCTCCCAGTGGCCCCTAGTCTCTCAGTGTCCCCATGTCTCCCAGCCAGTGTCGCTAGTGTCTCAGTGTACCCATGTCTCTCAGTGTCCCTGGTGTCTCTCAATGTCCCTAGTGTCTGTGTCCCTAGTCTCCCATAGTCCCCTAGTAATTCTCTCAGTGTCCCAATGTCTCAGTGTCCCCATGTCTCTCAGTGTCCCTGGTGTCTCTCAATGTCCCTAGTGTCTGTGTCCCTAGTCTCCCATAGTCCCCTAGTAATTCTCTCAGTGTCACCTATTGTCCTAGTGACATCAAACCACTTTGAGACATGGGGACACAGACTCTAAGGGACACTGGGAGACATGGGGATACAAACACTAGGGGTCATTGGGTGACATGGGGACACTGAGGCACTAGGGGACACTGAGAGACACAGGGAGACATGGGGCACTCCACGTGTCCCTAGTATCTCAGTATCACAATGTCTCCCAAAGTCCCTGGTGTCTCTCAATGTCCGTAGTGTGCCAGTGTCCCTAGTGTCTCAGTGTTTCCTAGTCTCCCAAAGTCCCCTAGTCTCTCAGTGTTTCAGTGTTCCAATGTCTCCCAGTGTCGCCATGTCTCCTAGTGTCTCAGTGTCCCCTAGTATAAAATAAAAAATCTCAGGCACTCACTGTGATAGATTTAAGCAGGTTTATTGGACACTGCAATGTTTCGACCTGTACCCATGACTTTATCAAGTCTCCAGTGTCCCCTATGTATCAGAGTGTCTCAGTGCTCCACGTCTCCCATTGTCCCTGGTGTCTCTCAGTGTCCGTAGTGTCTCAGTGTCTCCTAGTCTCTCAGTGTCCCCATGTCTCACAGTGCCCCCAAGTGTCTCAGTGTCCCCTAGTATAAAAGAAAGAAATCTCAGGCACTCACTGTGATAGATTTAAGCAGGTTTATTGGACACCGCAACGTTTTGACCTGTACCCAGGTTTTTATCAAGTCTACAGTGTCCCCTATGTATCACAGTGTCTCAGTGCCCCATGTCTCCCAGTGTCCCCTCATGTCTCAAAGTCACCCAGTGTCCCCATGTCTCCCAGTGTTCCCAAGAGTCTCAGTGTCCCCAGGTCTCCCAGTGTTCCCTAGTATCTCACTGTCCCCATGTCTCCCAGTGTCCCAATGTCTCTCAATGTCCCCTAGTATCCTAGTGACATGGAAACACTGGGATACATGGGGACACAGACATGCCCCCTTTTTGTGTATGTTCACCCGGCAGTTCTGGTTACGTGAATTGTGTCAGTGGCCCACCCTTTTACCCCATCCATAGGCTTCATGCTTTACTGGACACTGCTGTTAGGGGTTATGGGTTTACTTGAAAGATGAAAGCATGAGATTAGCATAGGGTATGTGTTCTATCATAGCTGCATCCTATTAGTTTCCCTCCAGCACCATCTCCATCCAATATATGACGCTTAGGAGGTAGGACTGTTTTAGTGTTTTTGGTCGATAAGATTTTGTAATTAGGCCCATCATAATTGTCAGCACCAGGCCCACTGGGCTCTTAATCTGGCCCTGGCTGGGAGA